GCGGAGCGGGGCGGGCGGGCTCCCCCTGAGGGGCCGCTCCTCAGGAGGGGGACACGGGGCCTGGTGGGGCCACCGGGAGGACGGCCCCGGGGGCTGCAGGGAGCTCCCCCCGCGGTGCGTCCCGGCCGCTGTCCCCGGGTGTGGAGCCGTGTCCCACGGGGTCCTGCGACAGCCCTTCCCCCCCTCCGCTGCCTGTGAAGCCGCAGGGCCCGGCCGGGTCCCCGCCGGCTCTCCGGGGTCAGTCGCCTTGACTGGGATGGTAGATCCGTCAGTCTGTGAGTTTGTGGCAGGGCTTGAACCCTTGGTGCGGGGCTGCTGGTCCCTTTGTTGCAGGGAAGGTCTTGCTTTCCTTCCTTCGTCTTTCTTTTTTTTTTTTTTTTTCCAGAATATTTCCTGCATGCTGGTTTTTTTCAGCCTTTAAGCCTAGATCCCGTGTGGTTTTTATTTCAGAAGTGACATGGTTTTCTTTAAAAGAGTTAAGGGTTTGTGCATCTGTCTTTTTACTATTGATGCAATTGTTTGTATGAGCAATTTATTTCAGCCTATTGATAAGGACCCGCGTGTTGTGATGAGTGGAGCAGGGAGAGAGAATAGGAGGAGGGAAGCACCTTGATCTCATGTTCCAAAGAATCCCAAATCTCCGTGTCAGATAAGGAAACAGTCCTTACTGCAAACAGATGAAATAAACTTAAGCACCTTTTTCTAAACTTGTGATTTCCGAACAATCCACAGGTACAGAATAGACAAAAAGGGTGTATCAAGAATAGTGTGGCCAACAGGGCAGGGATCGTCTCCCTGTAGTCGGCACTGGTGAGGCCCCACCTCAAATACTGTGGTCAGTTTTGGGCTCCTCACTGCAAGAAAGACACTGAGGTGCTGAAGCGGGTCCAGAGAAGGGCAACGGAGCTGGTGAGGGGTCTGGAGAGCAAGCCTTATGAGGAGCAGCTGAGGGAGCTGGGGTTGTTCAGCGTGGAGGAGGCTGAGGGGAGACCTTCTCGCTCTCTACAACTGCCTTGAAAGGAGGGTGCACTGATGTGGGGGTTGGTCTCTTCTCCCAAGTCACAGGTGATAGAACAAGAGGAAATGGCCTCAAGTTGTGCCAGGGGAGGTTTATA